AACAACAACATTACTTTAAACAAAAAAAATCCATCCAGCTGTTGAAGTTGAAAAGCTTTCGAAGAGTAGCCATTCTAGAAGAGTGTTGGGGGAAAAAAGAAGCAAATTACCGTTTAACCTTTGCGTAGCAGCAATTAATCAAATCTAAGACTAGTTTAGCAAGCTTTCTTTGCTAAAAGGAAATCATTCAGAAATCAAACGCTTAGTTTTGATTGAGGTGTGACGTGAAGAATAGTTGGCAGGACATTTCATTTAGCTTAATCTGCCCAGTTACTTAACTCTTAAAGCATGACTCCATGTAGTGTTATAGGAAAGACCTCAGCTATACTTACATTAAACTAAGTTTGCATAGAGATTCCAGAGTGTAATCTCTGTGGCTATTACAGCCTTCAATTTATACCTAGTTTTAAGCATGACTGGGTAATAAATTTGAATAGTTGGCAGGACATTTCATTTAGCTTAATCTGCCCAGTTACTTAACTCTTAAAGCATGACTCCATGTAGTGTTATAGGAAAGACCTCGGCTATACTTACATTAAACTAAGTTTGCATAGAGGTTCCAGAGTGTAATCTCTGTGGCTATTATAGCCTTCAATTTATACCTAGTTTTAAGCATGACTGGGTAATAAATTTGCAGTATGATTATTCAGGTTTATTCTTCTCATTTTTTTTCACCCTGAAGGCTTGCTCATTTTGCTTAGATTCACCTAACTTCTTGAAATTGCGTAAACTAAAAATTAGTCATTTTTTTTTCAGTTTTGAGATGATTAGTTAAGAACTTTTGCTCATGCCCTCTTTATTCTTGTTGCTGTTGTTTTATTCAAGAATCTTACAATGTGTTTTGGGCTTCAGACCTCACTCAGTCTTTCAGTTGTGAGTGAGGAGTGGCATTTTAAAAAGTGAGAGGGGCCAAGATTAAAAAAAAAACAGAATGAGATTAAATTTAAATTATGTTAATATATCCATTCTCTGTATGCTTAATAAATCCCCTTTCTATCACTTCAACAATTCAAATTTAGCATTGATTTTTACAGATGCTTCGAGACCGCAGGAATGTAATTTTTATACCCCTGCATTAGCGGATTTATGATATTTACAATATTGTAGCTATCCCTGCTGCATCTACCTAACTGAAAAAGATGGCAAACATCCCATAGAATTTAGGCCTGCTAATTCATCTACTAACAGAACTGTGTAATGGATAAGTTGTATTCTATGTCATTGTAGGAGCTGAATGTGATGTGGCTACAGTATGGAAAACAGGGTGCTGTCGCACTGTGATATTGAAATGCGTGCACTTTGATCATAATGTATGCAATTAAACCCCCAACAAACAATGGGTAATACAAATTTCTAATTACTGAGAAGTGAAGATTTCCTGCACATATGAATATAAGGGAGTTTCAAATTATTCATACTGGTGAGGGTGAAGAAAAAAATCTCTTCCTCCTCTCTGTTTGCTTTTTTTTTGCAAGCAAAGACAGGAGTGGAGAGGAAGAGAAAGTACGGTTTAAGTTAGTTCTAGGGCTTGTGTAAGTCTTCCCAGGAAGCACTGTGTCGAGGTAGTCGACTTGCAACAGTTCATTTAGTGACCCTTCAAAGTTACAACGGCACTGAAAAAAGTTGATTTATGACCATTTTTTTACACTTACGACCATTGCAGTGTCCCCATAGTCACGTGATCAAAATTCAGATCCTTGGCAACTGACTCATATTTATAATGCCGGGGTCATGTGATCCCCCTTTTGTGACCTTCTGAGAAGCAAAGTCAATGGGGGAAGCCAGATTTCACTTAGTAACTTTGTTACTAACTCAACAACTGCAGTGATTCACTTACCAACTGAAGGTCAAGAAAGGTCATAAAGTGGGGCAAAACTCACTTAACAAATGTTTCACTTAGCAACAAAAATTTTGGGCTCAATTGTGGTCGTAAGTCAAGGACTACCTGTATTGAATCACAGCTCTTCCCAAAATATATCTTCTCTGGCACCCGTCTGCACACTTCTTACCCCTGTTCATGGTGCTAGAATGTTTTATATCAGTCATAGTTTACTTTGGAAGCTCTTCTTACTCTGATTAGGATGGAGAAACCTTCTGACATCAATTTTCCTCCTCTAAGGTCAGAGGTAAGTGTGTAAATTGCCTGGGTTTTGTTCTCATTGTCCCATAGAGATTCACTGTAAGGTTCAATAGAGTTGACTCGCTTCTCTTCCTTATAGTCAGGAATGTCAGTCTGACATATTCTTCTGTACCAGCAGTGGATATCCTGTAGCTCATGAGCCAAATGGCACCTCCAAAACCAATAAGTAGCCAAATGATCAATTTTGGGAGTCCATGATTGGGAAACTAATTTCAACAGAATGTCTTCAGGCCATTTGGGAAATTATTTGCAGATTTCCTACTCCTCGACTCTAATGATACTGGAAAGGCTGCAAATTACAAACAAATCAATGTCTTCTCCATTCTTCTTGGTAATTATTCTTTGGGTGATGTCATTTGGCAGGGGCACTAAAGACCCCACAGTGATATCACTGGTTGCCTTCCAGATGCTTAGGATAGCAAGTATGGCTGCCTTGTTCCATGTGCATGTTGAGGACACAAGAAATCAGAAGTCAGTCTTATGGGTGATCCCAACAAACCATTGCCTGATTTTGGGTTATGTCCTAAGATTTCCCCAAATTGTTTTTATGTTGTGAGCTTCAAAGCAGAAAAAATGCATTTTAATTGCCTTCTGTTTGTTCTTTGATTGCTACTGAGCCAAATTCAAAGGGCTGATATACATATTTTCATGTCCTAATGCAGCTTCTCCGAAGCTTGTGCCTTCTAGATAGGTTGGATGGCAATCTCCATCATGCCGATCCAGCAGCATAAGACTAGCAAGAGGATCATGCTAGCCAGTGGATGGAAAGATTTATAGGCCAATGCATTTGAAAGGCACCACGGTATGAGTAGCCTTAATGCATTGGGACTTACTTAAATGTTTAAAACTGTGTATTTAACAAGACCCTCTCTAGCTAATTAGGGCGAGGCAATCTTCTTCAGTTGCAATTCATTTAACATTTCTCCCTTTACAATACCACTCTAAAATAAATTATAAAGGACTTTTTCTTAGTGAGTTGGCAATCTCACCAAGTTTTGTGTTGCTTTTTCATTAGTTTATGATTCAGTTGTGATCTATTTCACCCTTTGCAGTACATTTTCTGTCTTACACAGTGGTGTTTCCTCCTCCTTTTATGTGTTTGTATGTTCCATATAAAGCTTTAAATTTTTTTGAAACTTTGGGAAAGCAAACATGTTATATTGAACCACTTGACAGTGAAATTATGTTCTGAGAGAGTGGAGCCATCACATAACCAATGAAGCCGTACTCAGCGTGTGGTCCTCAATGGAACCCCATCTACATGGAGGGAAGTGTGTAGTGGGCCCAGGGCTCTGTTCTGGGCCCAGTGCTCTTCAACATCTTCATCAACGATTTGGACGAGGGGTTAGATGGGGAAATCATCAAATTTGCAGATGACACCAAGCTGGCAGGAATAGCCAACACTCCAGAAGACAGGCTTAGGATACAGGAGGATCTT